AGGCTCTGGGGATCTGTGTGCAAAGGCAAAATCACATAAAATCAGAAATGCCCCTGGAACAGGACCCCCCCAACCTCTATCTGTCCAAAGCCGGCGTGCTGAGTAGGCCTTGCCCCCCACGCATGATCTTGGGATCCTTGCGGGGTCTTACCAGAGGCTGGTAAGCAAGGTAGAGGGCTTAAAAATCTCCCACCTTGCTTAGCAGGTTCTGGGAACGTCTCATGAGGGCCCTGGTGTGTTCCTGCAAGATGTGCTGTGTCTGCATGGGGAGGCAGTACAACTTGCCTACCTGTCATTTTCAGGAGGGGGTGGGGCATGCTGTCATGATGAGAGAAACCATTCAAGGCCCCTGCAGTGTTCTGCTACTTCATGGGTGGTGTACTGAACTCTTATTAAATGGGAAATACCTTTAGCTACACTTCCTTAAACTCAAAGCATTTATATTTTAACCCTATGGCAAACTACTACACAGCTACAGTGTGCAGCAATATTTCTGCTGTAAATTCTTGACACCACAATCGTCATCTAAGGCCCTTCTTTGTGTGCCTCCTGCTCTACAAGAGTCCCAAAAGAGCAAGTGGTGTAAAATGAACAGTGTATCTTTCCATATTAAACCCTTCTGTAGGCTAAAATGGAAAATTAGCTGTGTTGTTTTAAATTGTGGATAACCCTTGTTGACTGGAGAGCAGAAAGCAGGGCTTCATGTGATTCTAAGGCAGACCATTTTCAAGAGTCATGGTGCTTTTTCGTTCCCTATTTTCCATTAATCACTCAATACTTTGTATACTGGGGTACTGGGGGGGGGGAGATGGAGTGGGAATGAAATAATCTTCAGTGATAATGATGGATGCAACGAACCTGCAATGAGGAATCAGTATTGATAAAAGTTAATGAGAGATTGAATAGTGTCTGATTTTTAACACTTACCTTAAAAATCAATTTGCAGGTGTTTGCATCATTAATGAAGGATAGCAAAGAAGGAGACAAGAACCATAGTCCAGCACTAAAAAGTTAATTTCAAGTTTATTGGAAATAATAAAGAAACCACTTGCTTGTTAAAGGATTCTAAACATCTTATCAATGAAAACCACTAAGAAGAAACAGCTTGGGAAGACCTAAGGAAGAGACAGTATTTGACTGAGTACAGTGGTGGAATTTGATGAAATGTTCACCCTGTTGCCAGTATTAAAGAGCTTTTTGTGGGAGGAGCCCTTTTCACAGGAAGCAAAACAATAAAAACTTATGAAACTGAGAAAGTGGCTAATGCATATTTAATATTTAAAGTTGAATGCAATAAAAATTTGTAATAACTTTTGTTGGTACTTTAAATTTTTAGGGATACCTTTTTTATGATGATCACAAAGGCACTTTTGGGAGGAAAGCAGGCGTTTAAAAAGTAAGGCCCAAAAACTGCTACCTGAACCAAACATTTTGGTACAAATACCTCCAAAATTAACCAGTGAAATTCTTAGGACCAAATAAGTTTTTTTGCTTTGGTATACATGCCAGATAATAGGAGGCTTTATATATGTCTTGCTAAACTCCTTTTAAACTGCAGCTTCACTCTTCGGTTAAATGAATGTACGTAAGGTGGAACAGAGTATGCTGCGTCAAGTCTTGCCGCAAAGTCATTGGCAAAAAGTCTTTTGGCCTAAAGATGGCAGGTGGTTAAGAGAACTATTTTAACTGTGTGCTTGTATAAGCAACTGATGGGTTTCTGGAATTTTGCTTCCTGAAGTACTTGGTAGGTAGCTTGCTTACATTACAGAAAAATTGGATTCCTATTCCACGAAAATCAGATCAGTTCTTGATTTATTTTTTAAATCAAAGTGACTTATACTTGATGATAAACACTAGTATAATTAATAAGCTAGTGACAAATGCTTTTGCACATTTTAAGCAATGTTAATGTGAAAGTTTGAGTCCCTGTATATTAAAACCTTTCTCACTTAAATGCAAAATGGAATAGTTTTGAATTGCAGTGTGTACAATAATTAATACCCTAAATCCATACTGTCAGTCACATCTAACATCAGCACTGTACTGTAAATGTGATCTATGGAAGCTCTTAAACTTCCTTCACACTCCAAAACATTTTAAAAATGACATTTGAACTGGAGGGAGATGGAAAGGATACCTCTTAAACTCTGAGCAGCTAATGCTTGTTCTTTCTAAATCCATTTTGATAGTATTAATGTAAATAAAAATGCATTATGATTTTTTTTGTACCTGTTCCCTGTACGTGGAAATGAAGTGAAAATTTATCATTGCATTAAAAAATTGAAAGAAAAGAGAGACTACTTCAGCTGTCAAGTGTTAAAAGAAGTTGCAGAACCGGTTTTAAAGATTTGGGTTACAGTATGTTGGAATATTTATGTATCGTTATCAGATTTAAAACTACACTTTATATTACTTACAACATACAATTTGAAGTTAAAATGTCTTTCTTTTCTTATGTATTTACTTACTTGGTTCCCGTGTATGTCCTCTGTTTGGGTTCTCTTGTACAGTTTTCTTACTTTTCAAGTATACACATGTATATAAATTGTAAATAGAAGGTATTTTGCCTTCATTCAAGACCACTAGTAACTATTCCTATGTAAATAAAACTTGTAAGCAGAATGAGTGATGTCTCTTCATTTAATTCTCCTGCTCAGATGCAAAGCTATATTGAAAACTTCTGAATCTTCAGTAGCTTCTACAGATTTATATTTCGGACAGCATGACCCCATCTATAATGGAAGCTGGGATTTTAAGGGGTGACATTTTAAAGTCTACAAATAGAGTTCTCGGTAAAAGGTTGTGATTGGTTGAAACTTCACAGGGAATTACAATCCTTCTCACAAACATTAACTCAGTTTGGAACAAGTCTGTGCAAAACTATTTTTTCTTAAACAGAGTGGCTAAGCAGCTGGCCCTGTGCCAGGGAATGTCTTGGCAGAGAAGCAGAACCCAGAGAAGCAGAGCTCAGACATAAACCGTAGGGTTTTTTTACCCATCCCTGTTTCATATGCAAAAACTTGTCCCATTTAGTTCCTAAATATGGTAGTTTGGTACAAACCTAAGGCAGCTGCCTACAGCACCAAATGTAAAGTATAATTTTTAAAAATCAGGATAGATGTATAGCATCATTACAAATGAACAGATTTTTTTCAGGATTCCTCACACAGACTAAGAAAGAATACTGATTTCTGCCTTTTTTATCCCATGGTTATCAGAGTCTGGATGCCTTGACAAGGGATACACTGAGAATGCTGGCACCATGATTTGGGGTTCTTGAATAAGGCAAGCCTCAGTGTGGAAGACATGGGGTATGCAATAAAAGCATTTTTTCATAGATTTTCTATGATGTTTTATGTAAATGGAGTGGTTCTGTTGAAAGGCCCTTTTGCTGCTGGGGGGCTACAGCAAATGCCTTTGGAGCCGGAACTGAGGTCAGCATTCCGAGAGATAAGTTATTTGATAAGTACACCCATTGCACGAGTGAGTTGCATGAGATGAGCCAGGTCTGATAGGTGTAAGACTTGTGAATTAATTCCAAAGCAGTGTTCTTGTGAAAACTTAGGCCACAGACTCCCCTGAAGCAGGCTGGGGCTTAAAACAGTGATAGGTACCTGAGCAGAACAATTTAAAGAATTTTTTTCCATTTGTTGCCATCTGCATTTAGAAACCACCTTTCTGCTATGTGATGCTGGGTTGAAGTAATACGTAATTGCATTCTGAAGAATACTTTGACATGTCCCTTTCTGGCTAAACCTCTCTTAAATGTTTAGCATGTACTTTTTCAAGATATTGGCATGGAGAGCTGAGCTGCATCAAACCCACGTACTTGCTTAGCAGTTTTTGCTAGTCCTTAGAAAATGCCAGGCAAGTAATTTGCTATAATTGTTTTAAAGCTTAAAACTGTTGCTATAGAATATATTCATGACTGCATAGGATCCATGCGAGTGCCTCACCCTCTGCTATTTTGTACCCCCTTCTATGGGAAAAAAGGAAGCACTCAAGTTCTTTGGTTAAATGAAATTCGTGTTTTAAAACCCCATGTGCAAATCTTTGGGTTTTTAATGCCGCATGTGAGATATTGTACCTGGGCCAATCAGGCTATAGCAGGCAGGCTACAGGTCTGGACAAATGTAGGTAAACACTAGATTGGACAGCACTGCTATCTCCTAAAATAAGCTTTGCTTTGTTCCTTGATAATGCGCAGCTCCACAATCGCAACCGTTTTCTGTCCCCTTCAGATGCAGCCACTGAAAGTATTGGCGCTAGTCTCCTCATTGTCCCATTTATTGGCAGGTGGGGGAAGACAGAGGCACAAAAATGAAGCCTGCCACGATTTGAGAATGCTTAATAGTGGACAATCTCTGGTGGGGTAGGAGGCGTTAAACCTCATCTTTTCCTAACCTTTTTTTTGTTTAGGCATCTTAAAGCCTGTCCCTACAAAAACAAAGCCTTTGTGCTGCGGTGATGCAGATATATCTCCATTCTCAGTCTGGCTCTTGTCTAGCAGATACAGAATGAAATGTCTTGACAACAGTTGTTCTAAATTTCTTTTGACCCCGAATGCTCCGGGGGGCGCGGAATCTGTCCAAATCTTTCTACAATTTCTACTCAAGTATTTTTATTTATTTACTTAATGGGTGTGTGTGTGTCTGTGAAGCTGCCTCCCCCCCCCCCCCCGCTACACCCAGGGAACCAGCGATGGTCCATGCATGGGAATTTGAGCAAAATAACCAGAAAGCTCCTCTTGGTCTCATTTTATGTCTCTTCTCCCCTCTGCGACTATATATTCTGGGACCGAGCCCCATTTCAGCCTAACCCACCCCTTTGTGCGCCCACGAAAGCGCTCCTGTGGGCTCATAAAAAACCCTGAGAAAGTGAGAGTCGTCGCTGCCCGGCGCTGGGCTTGCAGGGAGAGATGCCTTTTGCCTTCCTCCTCCTCTCCGACAGAGGTCGCTGTGGGGAAGCAGGATCCGCCTGACCTCCTGATGGCTTTTCCGCCCTCTCTTTGCCGCAGAGAGCCACTTCCGGTGCCTCGCGTGGCTGAGGCGTGTTGGTTTGCTCCGAGCGTGTTCGCCTTCCTTGCTTTCCGCTGCCATGAAGCCGGTGAGAGAGGGAGAATTGGGGTGGGGGCTGAGATTTGGGGGGCGGGCGGCTGCTTTGGCTGTGGGGAAAGGAAACCTCGGGATATCCTGACGGGGTTGCTGGTCGGCGCTTGGGCAGCAGGAGGTGGAGCGGAGGGATAAATGGCGAGGCGCCGCGGGAGCGTGTCGTTCAGGTGGGCTTGGCCGAGGGAGCGCGGCTGGAACAGCTTCGTCGTTAACAGCGACGTTAACCGCCCTCTCCACCTCACATGTTGTTGGACTACAACTCCCGTCGTCCCTCCCTGCTGGGTTACGCTGGCAGGGAATGATGGGAGTTGTAGTCCAGCACCCTATCGGTGTGGAGAGTGGCTCCTCTGGGGTGCGCGTGTGATTTGGACACTGGAATTTTCAGCGATAGCTTTTATCCCCCCCCCCCTTTGCAGATCATCTTGCTCGCATAATTTGGCTTTTTACTCTAGGGTTCCTTAGCCTTTATTTCTCTTAATCCAAATCAATCGATTGCGTTCTTAAAAGTAGATATTGCGCCTTAATCAAACTCATTCCTAGTAGCGTGTCTTCCATCTACAGTGGTACCTCGCAAGACGAATGCCTCGCAAGACAAAAAACTCGCTAGACGAAAGGGTTTTTTGTTTTTTGAGCTGCTTCGCAAAACGATTTTCCCTATGGGCTTGCTTCGCAAGACGGAAACGTCTTGCAAGTTTGTTTCCTTTTTCTTAACACCGTTAATACAGTTGCGACTTGACTTCGAGGAGCAACTCATAGAACGCGGTGTGGTAGCCTTTTTTGAGGTTTTTAAAGACTTTGGTGATTTTTGAAGCTTTTCCAAAACTTTCCCGACACCGTGCTTCGCAAGACGAAAAAAATCGCAAGACGACAAAACTCGCGGAACAAATTAATTTCGTCTGGCGAGGCGCCACTGTATCCCACTTCTTCTTTCCCGTGTGACGTTAGCTTAATATTTCCATGTCGAGCATTTCAAAAACCTCTGTCATTTATGCTGCTGCTGCTTAAATGTTATAAGGCTTAAGTTAAAAAGGTCTTAGGAATATTATGGATAGATGTGTAAGGTCAACTAACACAGCCCTTATCGCCTCCAGAGAAAAAGCAAAAAACGGGTTCCAAGCTTCCGCAAGCTGTTGAAAACAAGTAAAATAAAACTTGACAACAAGTTAAAAAACAAACAGTTCAAGCAGCAGAGTACTGCCAAGAAATACCGAAAAGAACAAAGGAAGCTCAGACAAGCTGTCAAAGATGCTGTATCCAAGAAACCAATGCCTTTGGAGGATAACAAGAAAAAACATCCAGGTGAGACTGGTGTGTTTGTGTGGTGAGGACATAATAGTAATAGGCTTCCATGGTACCCAGAGGTTTTCACTATGGCACAGAATATGAGGTCCCCTTTTAGATTGTGACCCTTTATGTGATTGAAGTGCTTTTCATAGTGTAAAATGTTATACATATCTCAAATCAGGCAGTTCGCATGTGAGCGATACAGGTTATTGAAGTAAACCTTGGCAGTTAATAGGCTGGATGCAGCCTACAGCAGTTGCACCATCTTTTGGTGTTCCCCACCCCACTAGAGCATTTTCTCATAATGTTTTGATTTTGATAACTAATTCTAGGGACTGATTATATTTTTGAGCAGTGATTCTCAAAATGAAGCTGCCTTACCCATAGAATAAATGTAAGTAACAGGGATTCTGATGCAACAGGTCATCCATTGCATCTGAAAAAAATGGGCTTGAGTCCATGAAAGCTTGGGCCATAAGAAGGCTGGAATTCTATACTAACTTACATTGGGAGTCAGTCCAATGGGACTTAATTTTAATACACATGTATAGGATTGTGCTTTAATGTATAGATTTTTATTTAGTGCATAATTCTGTTTCCACCTGGACAGCTGGGTACCTCTGGGTAACCTCCAAATAGAGCATGATGGGAACCAGCTCTTCTCTGGGTTGTTGTTTTTAGCTTCCAGTATTTGGCATTTCAAGGTATTATGACTAGTAGTCGTTTAATTCTACCCAAATTTCTAGCCCATCCAATTCAAAAGGCCTGTGGTAGATAACAGCACTTATGAGTAATGTTTTGAATTTTTCATTTAAACGTTGGGGTCATCACATTAGTGGTTAAAGGTAAGTAAAGATCATCTTCATATAGTTTTTTTCAAGGCAATCCATTTTTAGTGCAACAAAATTTAGTGAGGAGAGAGACTCCATCAGGCAAGGCCTCTTTCCCCCTGCCTTGCCCCACCCACCAGCCCTGGAAGTCCTCATAAGGAAGCTGTGCTTGGAGGAAGAACCGGGGGGGGGGGGAGAGAGAGACTTCATCAGGCAAGGCCTCCTTCCACCTGCCTTACCCCACCCTCCAGTCTCTGCTTCTCAATTTGTATTGTATTATTTTATGTACTGTGGCTTGCCATTGTTTTATTAATTATAGTTTAGAAATTATTTATTGACACTGTTGAGTGGATTTCTGTTTAACTTTTATATGTTGATATTATTATTTTGTATAATTCTAATAATTGTTGAAAGTTACTTTTTGATGCAGGTTGCTTATTTTAGTTTTATTATCACGTTTTTGTATTGCATTAGATTGTTGTAAGTTGTACATTTTTTGTTTCTTCAGTTTGTAAACCACCTTGAGTATTGTAAGATAGAAAGATGGTATACAAATAAAAAAAGGTGGTGGTGATGATGATAATTGAGAGTTGCTCAGTTAATTGTATGAAATCCAGATGTCTTTACTCAAGGAGTGCTTCTGTTTCAGTGACTGTACTTTTCCATTATTCAAACTGCAAAATATTGTTGCTTTGGGAATATGGAAATGCTATGTGGAGTGAAGTACTATTGCAGTGGATAGTGTCCTTGATTATACAGAACTGAAATGGCTAAGCCCACATTGTCTTTGGATTAAGTGATCACTCAGGAGCTAAGCAAAGATTAATGCCAAATCAGTCTTTGGCATTCTGTGAGTGAACATTGAGATCATGCTCCCTCTTGAACATGGCCATTCCCTCCCAGGCACTGGTCCAGGTTTGAGGCAAACCATAGCTTGCATGTTGTCTGAACAGCTGAAGTATAGTTTACCTGGAAGCCATGATTAGAAACCAACATTTTACCAGGCACACATGAGCTCTACAGAGAGCAATATAGAGGTAGAAAAATGCAGTTGGATTCTACATACAGGGTGAGTCCTTTAAAAGAGGCCCCGTGGATACAGAGTACAGTACACATGTTCCACAGGGCCTCACCCTGTACATACAAGGTAATTGTTTACTCACAAGTGTTCTTTTATATTCTCATCCCTCGTTAAACTAATGTGCCACAGTTGTGCCCCTCATTCAACAAAATCAAAGTAAAAGGTATTTCCATCTGCCTTTTGTAGTGTGTATCTCTCTTAGTGCCTCTGAAGTTATTCTGATTTTATTTGCCTTGGCAGAAAGGGAAGAAGAAGAAGAGGAAGCTCTTCCTCTTGATATGATGGATGAAGATGATATGAAATTAATGGAGGAACTTGCTCAGAGGGCGTCTTTTATAACACGAGATCTTTCTTCCAAGTAGGTGTTTGCAAAGTAGGGAATAGCAGACATTGCAGCACTTTTGTTGTCTGTTTATTGAGAGTTTATTCAGCATATGTTGAATCTAAGTTTGCCCCTCAGTGTCCCAGACCTTTAATACAAAAGGCTTTCGCAGAATAGGCCTTTTTCCTGCTTGACTAAATCTTCTCTGCTTGAGTGTTTTACTATTCCAAGCAATATCCCCTTCTCTGTGTAATAAGAGTGAGGTTGTTTGTTTGTTTGTTTGTTTGTTTGTTTGTTTGTTTGTTTTAAAGTGTTGCAGAGAATGAGTTCACAGATTCCATATGGGAGGGAGGAAGGGACAAAGGCAGAAGTTTGAAGGTACATTCACAATAGCATGGGTAGTTTGCAGAAGAATTCCATTGCTCTTTAAAGTTCAGGGCATCTGTGACATTAATGGAATCACAAACCCCACAGTTAAGCTCCTGCTGTAGTTATACTTGCTGTGAAAAGAATTTCTGCTTGGCATTAGCTTGGGCTAGGTGTTTGTAGAAAATGTAATGTAATGGAAGCACTTAATAAGGGTCTGGATAGTGACAATTTCATTTGTCCCCATTGGTAAACCCCATTTGGAAAAGCCTTCAATGGCAGATAGTTTGACCAGTTTTAATTTTTTAAAATCATAGAGAAAATTGTATGTGTTTTTTCAGTGTAACCATTCCTTTGCAGTTCTGTTTGTGAAAATAGTATTTTTAAATGTAAGTTATAAGTTATCCATATGAGAGTCTGACAAGTCTTTCACTTTATAGTGAACCTGTTCATGCCAAGAAACGTAAGAATGAGAGTGTGATTGAGAAATATGAGAAGAAGCCAAGGCGCATGCAGACTGAGCCTGAAAAAGAACTTATTCATCTGCTTCCCATCAAAGACAAACGTGGAATTATTCCACAGACCATGGAAAAGCCAGGTGAGGCACAATCAAGATTGCCAGGCAAGCTGTCAGTTTGATTTAAGAACTGGATCGTTCGCAATGCTGAATTTTTAAAGAGCTTGCTCTTTCTTGTAGTTAAAGAGGAAGAGGAAGAGGAGGAGATGGATGAAATAGAAGAAATGGAAGAGGCACAAGGTATTTAAGACTTTTTTAAAAAAAGATTTTGTACAGATTAAATATTAATAGACATTCAAATGGTGTTACTGTTCTTGAAGCATATTAGTGTAAATTACTTCATTGGTTCAGAGAACATTTTGTGGTTTGTCCTCATTGTTGAGTTACTGGATAGATCAAGTAAAATAAGTATAATACTGCCAAAGAAATGAATTGCTCTTAAAGTGTTTCCAGATGTTGCATTTACGAAGTCAACCTAAATTGAAGAGAAACCTGACTAGGGTAGCTTACAAAGGAGAATGGAAACCTAAACTATTATTTGAAAGTCTTGGCTGAATACAACTGAATGCCACCCCCTGAAAAACCCAACCAACTCCTAAAAGGTCTGTTTACCTGAATAAAGGTTTGACCAGGGGCTGATGAGAATGCCAACAGAAGTTTCTAGTCTCCATTTCAAATGTCCTTTCCAGCTCTGGTGTGGAGGCACACGTGCACACATACGCTCTAAGACAGGCTTCCTCAACCTCAGCCCTCCAGATGTTTTTGGCCTACAACTCCCATGCTCCCTAGCTAGCAGGACCACTGGTCAGGGATGATGGGAATTGTAGTCTCAAAACATCTGGAGGGCCAAGGTTAGGGAAGCCTGCTCTAAGACATGAACAGCGTTTTTCTTTATCACCAGCTCTTGAAGAACCATTACCTGTTCTCACTGCTGAAGAACTGCTAGTTCATAGGAAAAAGAAGCTACAAGAGAAAAAGATGCACATAGCTGCCTTAGCATCTGCCATCTTGTCTGACCCAGAAAATAATGTAAGTAACATTTCAGTTGAGTTGAAACTGGCCATGCCATAAAAAAGTAAGAGAATGATTTTTACACTGCCAAAGATTCAGATGCATCATATTTAGTGTGGAAACAAATGTTGGCTTTTAATGGCTTGGCACAGTGAGGTCTCACGGGTTATGTGCTGTTGTTCATGCTCTCATCTCACAGATTTTGTGTGATTGCCTTCTGGATTGGAAGGGATAGTTTCCTTTCCTTTAGGCTCCTTTTACAGTATTTCTCTTGGATGCTGTTGAAACAGTTTTATGCATGGAATTAAATGAATACCATTAACCTTGCTTTTATTTTTTCCTCTCAACGTTTTTGCCATCCTTTTGAGAAGTTGTTCCCTAAAAGCAATGTTCTGTAACTGCTTCACAGGCAGTGCTTCAATTTAAGAATTTGACTTGTCACACACACACACACACACACACACACACACACACAAATCTCTGGAGGGAGATTAAAACCCTGAAGTGAAACAGTTGGCAGTGTGAAACTGCAAACTGAAAGGCTTAGAGAGACAGGAAGAGCCCGTGGGTTCCAGGTATTTTCCATTTGAAAGGTAGCCACTGTGATTACTGCTTTTGTAATTGCTGATGAAAACAAACTGGTCCTTGCCAATTGTGAGACTGTGTCTTTTAGTCTTTCCAGGGTACATTGGGAAGTAGACTTGATGTGATCTGGCAGTTTTCATATTGTCTCAGAAGGTGTAGTTGTTTGGTTAAACTAAAACCCCACCACACAAGCTAAAACAAAAATCAGTGGGGGCATGACCTCAGTTTTGGGAAAACCTGGCACCTCCTCACTGATGCAAATCCATTAAAGCTTCATTTGAAAAATGGGTGATATCACAGAAATTGATGGTATAATAGTGTGTTACTAAAATATTTTGCACCATATGAATATCGAGAATATGTTGCGATCTTGAATTCTGTGTGCATGTTCTCTGAAGATGGCAGTAGTTGTTGCTCCTCACATTACAATGACAGTGTATGCATAAATTTTGTCTGGTTTACCTGTAGTTGCCAATTATATTTCATGGTTATGTCATCCTTGCTTGAGCAGATAAAGAAGCTGAAAGAGTTGCGTGCAATGTTAATGGAACAGGATCCCAATGTGGCCGTGATTGTGCGAAAGCTGGTGATGATTTCTCTGATGGAGCTTTTCAAAGACATTACTCCATCTTACAAAATCAGACCTTTAACTGAGAAAGAGAAAAACACAAAGGTGAGGTTGTAATATGTTTCAGAGTAGCTTAATGTCAAGTTGGGAGGGTAAGACAACTTGTTATATGTATGGAGGAAGAAATTAAGAGTTTCTATCTATGAAATTATTTCTTTTCTTAAAAATAGCCCACAGTTTTTAAGCTTAGCTGTTGAAATGTTGGCATTTGGGGTACCAAAAATGAAGAGTATACCTTTCTCGCAAAACTGTTGGGTAACAAATTTCCCCAAATACTTCTTGAAAAGACTTCAAAATAGATACTGCAGAGGGTGACATCTTCTGAAACTTAAAATGTGTTGCAGTTGTCACACAGTAGATTTATGGCAAGATGTTTTACATTGTTTCTTTGTTTATCCACAGGTTAGAAAAGAAACTCAGAAATTAAGAGAATTTGAAGAAGGCATTGTCAGCCAGTACAAGTTTTATTTAGAAAATCTGGAGCAATCTGTGAAAGGTACGGCAGGCAGGGTGTATGGCTGAGGATGGGGATATGCTCTTAAATGTTGAGCGCTAAAATTATTTTGTTGTTGGAAATAAGCAGCTATTGGTAGTATCCCTAACACAAAGCATGGAGAAGATCCCCGATTTAAACTCTAGAATCTCAACTCTTGATCCTGAGTTGCAGGGCTAAGAAAGTATTTTTCCTAGTATATTTTTTTTAAGGATATGGCATTGTGTGTGTGTTTTCATTCTAAGCCCTGTGTGTCATTGTGGCAGGAAATATGCAAGTAATATTTTTTTTTCCCCACCTGGAAATAATAGTAGTAATTTCAGAAGCTGGGATGGCAAAATACTCAGGCTTTTATGCAATATTTCACTTAGATTGGAAGCAAAGGAAGCTGAAGAAAAGCAACGTGATTTCACTAAAAGCATACAAAGGCCTTGCAGAGATTGCTGTGAAGTGCTTGTGTGAGCTGTTGGTGGCCCTGCCTCACTTCAACTTCCACAATAATATTATTGTACTCATCGTGCCACTCATGAACGATGCTTCAAAACAGGTAGGCATACCCCATAGTCATGACAGCAGCCGTTACTGGTATATTGAAATATTGTATGTCATTTCAAAGTAAATATGAATCACTTTCTGGAAGGGTAAAAATCTTTGTTCATGGCATTTTACATTTTTTCATCCAGAAAGCAGTGCTGGTTGAATAAACACTGATAATCGAAACTTCCAACTTTCCAGATTTCTGAAATGTGCTGTGGTGCAGTAAAGACCCTCTTCAAGCAGGATAAACTTGGCTATGCCTCACTTGGTGTGGTGAAGGTGATTTCTGGCCTTGTGAAAAGCAGGAATTATGATGTTAGACCTGAGGTAAGTTCCTTCCTTCCTCTCCAGTGTGGAGCGATAGTTAAAAATGGACTTTAAATATTTACTATCCTTGTTGAAGTACTATGGCATATTATCGCAAACAAAAACCACACCAGTTGTTTCCCAAACGTTACTTTTTCCATTCTTCATGAGTTGTTGGCAAGGATGGCATCTGTGCACATGGATATAAAAGAAAAAGAAATGGTCTCAGGCAGTTTTATGTTTTGTAAGATCTGTGCTTTTAATGAATTTGAGAAATAAATGTTACTGGATTATCTTTAGGTGCTAATGACACTAATTCACCTAAGAATTAAGGAAGTAGAAGTGAAAAAAGATGCAGAAGACATCACGCCAAAGAAGAGGTTCATGTCTTATCAAGAGAAACGGAAAAATCTTTCAAGGATGCAAAGAAAGGTACTTCTTACGCTGTAGTGTACATGTATAATTTGAATTTCATTAGAAAATGGAACGGTTTCTGGCTTGTAACCAAATAACTAACCAGTGAGTTCTATTGCCCAAGGAGATTTTGAAACAACACCTCCTCATGCCGTCCTCCTTTTGAAACTATATTATGATTTGGCGAGGAAGCGACTGCTGTTTGAGAGATAGTGTAAAACAATAAATCTCAGCTGAGCTTGCTGACATTCTTGGGTGCCCCTAAATTAGCTCTTATGTTCATGTCTCAGGACTTTCGTTTTGTGGCCATGTGAACACTGCAAAACACAGTTCTGCAGATTGTTTCTTGCTGGTTATATATGGGAAGATTTTTTGTTAGTGATCCCATCATGCTTTTGCTGCTGAGAGGCTTTTAGTACAGCTGAAAATAGTCCCACCCCTGTTTCTCATGTTGCTTTAAACATCATGGTCAGTTCACATATAATCAAAATCATGGTTTAGGGCTCCATGGGCAAACCTCCATGAGACAGAGCAAAGCATTGGGCTCGTGCACACACCTCCCTTCTTCCCACATATCTGGGATAATGGTTTCGGTTGTGTTTTCCTCAGTCTCTACTTAGCATTGTGTATAAACTGGAGGTTAGGTCATAGCTGTCAACGTTTCCCTTTTTTAAAGGGAAATTCCCTTATTCCGAATAGGATTCCTCGCAAGAAAAGGGAAAAGTTGACAGCTATGGGTTAGGTTCTAAACAAGCCAGCTTCTTTAGGAACTAACAATGGTTTAGAAGTTTTTCAAACATGGCCTGTGTTTCCAATCCAAATAGGTTGCCTGTACCAGAAAGAAGTAACTTATCTGACCACTCATAGTCCATAAGAGGAGGAAGGAGCATGCGGCATGTTCCTGTTCAGAGACATTACATCTGAACTGACCCAACGCCTGCAAAGTAATTACCTTAATACTGCCAGAATCTTGTGTTTTCTTACAAAAAACCTTGTACATTTTCAGTGGAAAAAAGCAGAAGAGAAACTAGAAAGAGAACTCTTAGAAGCAGAAGCCTCAGAGAGCACAGAGAAAAAACTGAAACTGGTAAGAATATTTTCATGGGTGTGGTTTACTGCTGAGTTTTGTATTATGCACAAGTAAAATTAGACCAGATATTGCCAATTGTAGTATTTGTTTCAAATTCTTGCTTTGGTTCTGTGGTTCCTTAGAAATGAGTTTCTAGTCATAAAATGTGGGTGGGCTGTATGCACAGTAAACACAAAGACTGATACTATAAGCACGGATTTATTCCTCATTGTGGTTAATCTTTATTATTAGTAGTTGTTTTTACTCAGCACAATAGTTGAGGGAGTATAAATAGTGCAATAACAGACTAGTAGTCTGTTTTTTCCTGGCAATTCAATAATTACTGGTTTAGGGCATTATGGTGTCTATCCATAGCTATCCCGGCTATGATTCATAATGATGTAAACCAGTAATTAGGAACTGATCTTGCTAGCAATTAAGTAATCCTAGGAAATTTAAAGTGGTTTTTGATTAATGGCTTTCAAATCTAGGCAAGTGTGAACAGAACTTAAATAGGGTGAACTTGGAATGTTCCATATGTGTTCATTTGTGGGTGTCTTTTCTCTACAGCACACAGAAACCTTGAATATTGTATTTTTAACTTACTTCCGAATACTGAAAAAAGCACAGAAGTCTCCTCTTTTGCCTGCTGTGTTGGAAGGCCTTGCAAAGTAAGAATTTCAAAGCAATTTTTGAGTGACCATTCTTTATAAAAGTTCCTAACAAGGCACATTATATCAACATAAAAACTTCCATTGGAAAGGTTTTACTGGAGTAGGCTCATTGCAATTAATGGAGCTAAATTGATCATGTCCACTAATTTCAGTGGGCCTGGGTAGAACTTAGTTAAATGCAACCCACTGCTTAAATTTGCTTAAACACTTCGCTTAAAATTACTCAGAAAAATTAAATAAAAATCAGGGTAGAAGAAAGTCGGAAGAATAAAAGCAATTGAAATTCAATGCAGTTCTAAAATAACATTGCTAAAAAGTTTGGTATGTATTTCATCTGTTTCATGATGCTTGTATAGCATCCTGTTTTGTTTTCAAAATGATAGCTGGCAGATGGAGGAATGCTGTTCTTTTTTTGGATTACAAGTAGTGTGTGATTAATGATCATACTGCAAAAGAGAAGACTACTTAAGAATGTTGTTTAAGATAGTTGCACTATAAAACAAACTATAATTGCAATGGCATGATTTGAGTTTGACAGAGAAATCTTCTGTAAATTCACAAATCTAACTCCTTGATTTTAGGTTCGCCCACCTCATAAATTTGGAATTTTTTGATGACCTTTTGCTTGTTCTACATTCTCTTATGGTCTCAGGGGTAAGTTTATCCTTTGTCTAAAGAGATAGAAGACTTTTGGTCTATATCTTTCTGATGCATTTCCTTTATTTTCAGGCGTTAAGCCACAGAGAGAGTCTGCACTGTATTCTTTCTGCTTTCCACATTTTGTCTGGTCAAGGTACAGTTTAATTTTCATATTGCATTTCTTTTGTGATTAGCCTGAATGGGACCATTGCTAGGTTTGTCTGATGGACATGAGTGGTCAAAGATTTAACAAAAAGTTCCATCCAAGGAAATGTGATAGACTTTGAGGAAGGACTAGAGAGACAGGGAGAAGACACTTTTTGTTTTGGCTCTGAACCAGGATCAATGTTGCCTGTTTGTTTTAAGGAATCTGAATTCTTCCAGTTGACTTTGCTTGTATATTTGTAATTAAAGGAATATATTGCACAGGTTCAACCAGTCTCCAGCACGCACTTAGCTCCAGAGGAAACTAAACCCCAGAGCAGTGTTTTTCAAACTTGGGTCTCCAGCTGTTGTTGGACTACAACTCCCATCATATCTAGCTAGCAGGACCAGTGATCAGGGATGATGGGAGTTATAGTCCAACAACAGTGGGAGACCCAAGTTTGAAAAACACTGCTCTGAAGTATTCCCTTTGAACGTCTCACCATTTGAGGAAGTAAGTTGTTTTACAGTTACAGCAACAAACCTACTTAACTGGAATTATTTTGGATAGGTGATGTCCTTAACATTGACCCTTTGAAGTTCTACACACACCTTTACAAGATACTACTTAAACTACATGCAGGTAACTCCTTATTTCAATGGTTTCGTGATAACAAAGCTCGAGTACTGTCTTTTATATACTTCTATGGTAGATGGAGTGAAATTGTATGCCTTGGTACTTTCTCTACAGAAATAACCCACCAGTGGGTTTCAGTGGTGTTCCGCAGTGTTTCTTTCTTTGCTAAATAGCTGGTGTGATTCTTAATTGGTGAATCTTTCTTAAATAAATTAATAATAGAATCGGGAAATAGCAGGTGTCTTCAATCTTTCTGGTGTTCTTTTGGATATATGTTCCTGCATTCAAATGGGTTTTGAACCACACGTGTTGTTTTAAGGTGCTACAAATGAAGATGTGGCGATAGTGCTGCAGTGCCTGGATGTGATGCTCACCAAACGTAGGAAGCAGGTGTCCCAGCAGAGAGCTCTTGCTTTCATAAAGCGCCTCTCCACAGTAGCCCTCCATCTCCTTCCAGACTCCTGCATTGGTATCTTGGCAACCAACAGAACATTAATGCATGTAAGTTCTTAAAAACATAGCTAATGAGACCCTTCAGCTATAGTCCTATTGGGATCTAAAACTGTTGGATGTTTCAAACTCATTCTGTTGAAACTCCTACATCATATTTAGAACATGTCATACCTTCACAAATCTACACACACATTTGTTCAGACACAGACCAGCATAGAGCGTTCCATTTAGCTTTTAGCTGTGCCAAGCCAAGTTTCATTCTTGTCAGAAGAGATGGAGTCATTCCAGCATTCTCCTAGGGCTGCCATATGTCTGGATTTTCCCGGACATCACTGGAATTTCAAATGCGGAATTAACATCCGGGGGGGGGGGGGATTTCTGAAAGGCGGTGTTTTTGTTAAAAAAAAAAAAAGCCCAACAACTTTTGGGTTTTCCAAAAAACGAAACAAAACACCATCTCAACAATTTCAGTGGTTTCCTTAAAAAAACCTCAACAATGTTGTGGTCTTCCTGGTTTTTACTTTTTGAAATATGGCAACCCTAATTCTCCAGCTTTCCTGCCTTGTTGTTTCTTCAGTTATTCTTTCTGCTATGGGCATCAACATCTTAGCGCTTTCAGTGCATTGGATTTAGTTTTTAGAGGGGAAATGCCCGCTGGGCCCAAGCTGTCACTCAGAGAATCAGGGTCACCTTTTCACTGGAGTTGGCCTAGAACAGTCTGAGGGGTGTCTGTTATAGATACTTTGTATAAAGGATCGCTCCAGGGGCTGTAAGCTTGATGACTGGCTTTTCAAGAACTTGGGTGGTGAGGCTGATTATTGCTTTTCCACTAAGATGCAGGTATTTTAATTGCTGCAGTTTGAAAAAGGTGTTTGGATTCTGATCTTAAAATGACATAGTTTGGTAGTTAATTGGAATTTCTTACATATTGCACTAAATCATGATTTACCCCCATGTGGCTGAGCAAGAATGAAGCATTGGGCTTGTGCCCCTTCACTAGCTCTCAAATAATCTTAACTTTGCATGTCATACAACCCTGGTTTAAAACAAACAGTGGCTAGCTTTCTTAAGAAGCCAAATTCAAACAATGGGCTATTTGAAACTGGCTTTTGAAACTAACCATTGCTTTAAACCAGGGTCTCTAGCACATATGTAATACTTGTTTGAAACTGATACTCAGTTTGGCAGAAGTCCTGTTCCCAGTTGCATTTGATTCGACTGGTGGAGTCTCGTCCATTTAATGCTAAGCGGTGGTTTTAGCATTAGGTGAGAAGGCAGCAATTGTATTTGACTTTTGTAGGTTTCTCCTCTTCTTGCCGCCTACCCTGAGATAGGCTACAAATAAAATGCCCCTTCCAACACAATGAACAAAATGGTCCACATGTGAAATATTCTTAACATGTTTTGAAAATTATTACAGCAGACGTGAGTTCTCCAGAGTTGGTTCATTTTGCTTTAAATGAAAGCAGAGACTTTTAACATGATCCATCAGGCCATATACATATTCAGAGATCTTAAGTTTCTTACATCGGTAGTTATCTTTTCAGGGAGATGCAATTTTGTTTTCTGAGGCAAACATGGTAACAACTTTGTAATGATTATTCCATTTCACGTGGGACTCTCTTCTTTTTTCCTTTTCTTTTCTTGGATGGTATTGTAGACTTTCCCAAAGACAGACCTTCTCCTAGACAATGAATCTCAAGGGAGTGGACTTTACCTTCCTGAGCTGGATGAACCAGAGTACTGTAATGCTCAGAACACAGCACTGTGGGAACTGCATACTCTGCGGGTGAGTGTCACGGAAGCTAATGTCTTGTTGCCTTATTCAACACTAGTAACCTAGGAAGCTCTTTTTCTGTTCTGAATACACTTTTTTAAAGTCAGAATTTGCAGGAATGAATGTTCTTGAGTATTCTAATTCTATTTACAACATTTTTATAATGCAATTACCGTATTTTTCGCCCTATAGGACGCACTGGCCCATAGGACGCACCTAGTTTTCAGGGGGGGAAATCAAGGGGGAAAATATGATTCCCCCTGCCCCCGCAGCTCTGGGAGCAGCGGACAGGCTGCACGCAGCCTGTGCGCTACTCCAAGACCTTTTTCCTGCTTTTGCGGGAGGTGGGGGAATTCCCACCTCCCGCAAAAAAAAAAAAGATGGGGCTGGCAATGGGGGAAGCGTTGCTTTCCCCCACCGCCAGCCTCCAAGCCGGGTTGGAGAGTAGCGGGAAGGCGTCACGCACCTTCCCGCTGCCCCCCATCCTCTGGGGCTGGCGATGGGGGAAGCGCTGCTTTCCCCCACCGCCAGCCTCAAAGAGTAGACTCTCCTGCCTTCAGCAGAAGCAACACGAAGCCTTTGGAGCGCAGGCTTCGGAGGCTTCGCGTTGCTATCACTGAAGCCAAGGAGCCTGCATTCGCCCCATAAGACGCACACACATTTCCCCTTCATTTTTGGAGGGGGAAAAGTGCGTCTTATAGGGCGAAAAATACGGTAATCAGTTTTCTTCAGTGGCGAATATGATTTTGAACTTCAGTAACTCTTTTCACTCTTTTAATCAGGCTGTTTAGCTCCATCATTCTGCTTTGCACTTTTCTTCTTCCTACCTCATCTTATTTACGGAGAAAGTAATGAGCAGTGATGCATGCGAACCACCCAGCATCTTCCCATCTTCTCCACTTAATTGATCCCCACTGCTAGATGCTTTAACTCTCTTCTTGGAAAAGGCTTAAGATTCCCCCGTCATAATTGTCTTGCATCTCATGGGATGTTTAACCAATCGAGCTTTTGTTCCTAAAGCGGAGAGAATACAATTTTGATGATAACCTTTAGTTCAAATAGTCAAATGCATTACATTAATATAGAAAGGTTTACATTCCCAATTTCTCATCAGTGCTCTCTCCCTAACCCCCAGAGACATTATCACCCAGTCGTTCAGAAATTTGCAGCTCACCTTGTGGCTGGTGCCCCAGCAGAAGGATCAGAATCTCTTGGGCATGAATTTAGTCGGAGGTGAGAGAAAGGTGTTTGCTTTGAAAAAAATTGTGCATAGATTCAAAAGAACAATTTAGGAGCCAGGCTTTCAGTGTGCTGGTACCTCCTCCTTAGAGCTCCCTCCCGTAATGTGTCACAAAGGCACTGTCTATTATCTTTTTGATGCCTGCTGCAGACCTTCCTTTTCCCACAAACCTTTTAAGTGAAGAATTTTGTATTGCTCTGTATCCGTATAGAATTGAAATTGTTCTTATCGTTATATTGTTTTGGAATGCTTCAGGGGAAGCAATTCATAAATTATATGAATGAAGTTTAGCGGAGAAAACCCTGCAGTCTTTTCTGGTATAGAACTAGAGACTCAGCAGCTTACGTATGTATACAGGGGTGGGGGAAGTTTTTGACCTGGTGGGCCAGATCTTTATCTCCACCTCACACCCTGTGGGCCAGCTTTGACAGGGGGGAGTGCCAGCTACTCATCAGTTGTCAGAGGTCATGATGATGAGGTCATGGCTGATAGGTCTTGCCAGAGTTGAGCCGTGGGGTGAGCATGCAGCAGGATTGGAATCTTCGCTCCTCAGCTGAAGAGTGGAAGCTGCAGTCCTTCTCCCTGGAGGGATCTGCTTTTCCCCCTGAGGAAGATGGGACAAGATCTATTACCTTTTTCTCTCTGTGCCCAGCCAGGTGCTCATGGGGTGTGCACAATAGCTCTTACTCCAGCAACTGGCATTCAGTGGCCAGTTGCTCCTGAACCTGGAAGCAGTACTTAGCTACCATGGCTAATTGTCACAGTAGATGGATCCAGTTACCGAGTTCTTTTTCTGAGTGGAAAGTACATTACTACTGTTTAATATTAGCTTGAATGTGAACTAAAGGAGCAGATTTTTTAAAAAAATGTAGCTGTGTAATGTTCACTGTCAAGCGTTTTATACAATAATCCTGGATTCCAGTTTCAGTGATAGGAAAGGAGGGAAATGTCTGCATGCAGAAGAAGACTTCAGTCTTGCTCCATTATTCTGTTCAGTGTTTTTTGTGTGTGTGTTCATTTCTTTGTTTGCCTCAATTTTTGACATATTTTAAAGGTGCTTTGCAGGGCTGTTCAACTCTCCAATACAAATACTAAAATTTAGGGTCTTTGGTTTTTCCCCAGTCTTGCTTTAGGACACAATATATATTTTTTGCAAATAGTATATTAAAATGAAACCTGTATCCATCATAGGTTGCCTACAGAACTTTTTGAGGCCTACAGTATGAAAGGAATGACTTTTAATCCTCGTGTTGCGTCAGTGGCACCCAGGAAAAAGGTACCGCCTTGCACCCTTCTCTTCTTAAATCACACACGATGATTGATAATGCAACATTTTGATTTTACTTCATAAAACTGTAACACTTGTTCATTTCAGGGTAAATTTTCACAAGAGGCATCATTTCTGAATGAAGACTTGAATGAATTATTTAAGGTTTATTTTGGAAGGCCAGTTCCACAAGGAGCCCTCGATTTCACGAAACACTTAAAGGGATTGCCAGTTTCCTAAGTATATTACAAACCATTGCAATCTATTTAAAGGAACTAAATACATGAAAGAAATACTCACCTGGTCTACAAATAATTTAAATAAAGTGGGCCTTTTTATTATGGATGCTGGATTTCCAGGAATGAAGAAGCAATTAATGAACAGCCTGTACTTTGGAATTCTAGGACCCCTGATTCCATATTTATTGCTGTAGTTATTATGGTTTGTAAGCTTTGAGTTTATGTATAATATTGAACAATATTTTCATTGGAAATGGATGATTTTTCTAAAATGACATGAATTTGAATTGATTCTAGAAAACTATTTTAATTGTATCAATATATAAACCTTTTTTTAAAAGAAAAAAAGATTTCAGGCCAATCGTTCTGTTGTTATCTCACCTACCTATGATATAAAATATAAGCAGGTGTTGAAAAACAGTGGTGCGTGGATATCCACTCCCACAGAGCACAATCCCACCGTTTTATGTTTATTTTTTAATTTAATGTCTCTATTAAATGGGCTATGAGAAAGTGACTGCAATTAACATTTAGCTCCTCTCCCCCTACATTGAGATTCCCCACACCACAATAGTTTGTACAGTTATAAGGTTACTCTTCCTGTATTGGGCCTAGTATCACAAAAGCAAATGGAGATTCATCATAGCATCTACCAAAAATTTCTGTGCATGGCCTAAGTGCCCAACCAGACATTATAAACAACTGCCCTGATGCTTTTTTTCTTTTTAAATGACATGTGGGCTAAATGTTAAGTGGGGAAGTCGTGGGACAAGGAAGGCTGCTTAACTCTTTTCCGTCAGCTATTTTCCTGCTTCAAATCTCCCTCCCTACTCCTGCTGATGGAAAAAAACCCAACTTTTTACCAGGGAAACATTTTCTGTAATATTGCCATTTCTTCCTTTAAATTTTGTGTCCCGAGGCTGCTCCCCACTGAAAAATAAAAATTGCACCCAGCTAGGTGTAATGTGTAGTTTTGCCCTAAATTGTAGACCAAGTTAGTATTTTCCTGCTGCAGTGTGAACACAGTGCATCTATTTCAAGCATCAGAAGGAGTAGTGAGAGATGGATAAGGTACGTAAGCATTTTGTTCTGCACATCCTCTTTCTCTTTTCCTACTAATGGGTTGGTATTGCTTTATGAACTAATCTTCATTTTCTTTCTAGTTGTTGACCTGCATAAGAGCAATGAGCAAGTAAGCATTCTGCCCTCCTTATTTGCTAGTGATGAAATGTGCAGATAACTGGAAATATTTTGCTATTCAGTACAAATGTTTTATGGTTGCACTGTATTGTAGCTGAAAGAAGTTTGACAACTTTTGGCTCTTCATTTGTTATATTGGTGATCTAGGTCTCAATTTGAGTGTCAGCCTGCAATCCTAGACTACACACTTACCTGAGAGCAAGTTCTATTGAACTTTCTGGGGCTTACATCCAAGTAGACATAGTGCAGTCTCATCATTTGGGAAATGCAGGTAGGTCACCTCTGTTTCATCCACACTCCCTTCAGTACAGCAGATCAGGGGTTTAGATTGCTCTGCTTGAATGTAACTATTGAAGTCCATGTTTACAAATTTATTGAGACACCTTGTTTAGATGGCAGTACTCTTGTGATAGTAATTCACTGTTGCTGGAGGTAGGAATACTGACAACAACTGCTCCGTATTGGTCACACCCCAAAAAATTGCCACTGTACCACAGACAAGTGGAAGGTGATGGTGGGGAACAAAAATATGATGTACATATAATTCTTGGGTTTTTTTCTAAACACCTGGGAGCAGATTTTTACATTGGTGGCTGTACTGCTATCCAAGCATTTCTAGATGGGATTTTTGGCTCTAGTTTCCATCATGTTCCTAATAGAAGCACAATGTGTGCAAAAGTAAATAAAAAGTAAAAGTAACACCTTTGGAAATTCTCTAGGTAGCCAGAGACCCTTCTTAGTCATCCATAAGGAGTTCTATGATTAAATTTGATTTACTCCACCACCTCCTCTCTAAAGGACCTTATATAACATGTAGCTTCAAATTTAAATGCATGGTACTTACTGTTAAACATCTCACATTGACTGTTTAGGTCTGTCTGCTGTTTTCAGAGGCATAGTTTTTCTGGCAAGCTGTGGCTTTAGAGCTTGTCTAAATGCTATGAACTCAAGTTGGTGTGTAGAAGTCATATGATAGCACTGTGTTCCATTTACTGAGGCTTTTTTAAAAAATTGTCTTTATTGAAGGATTTTCATAGACAACAAGGGTACATACGGTTTTGTTCTCAGTTCCTAAGAGTCCTTTATATAGGTCAGTTACATTCAGTGTAAGACACTATTGTAATACATATTGTGAGGTTGCGGGGGGGATGAATTGGAGGGAGGGAGAGAAGAGGGGAGAATGATCTCGTTCTTTTGCTTAGTGTGTTTTGGCAGTGTGAGAGGTTGCAGAGCCCAGAGCATGGTTGGTTGCATTCAGTTGATTACAGTGAGTTTTGCTTGTGTGTGTGAGGTTGTAAGGGGTTGTTCAGTGAAGTTAGCCATATTGATTTGTATGCTATTGGGGGGTTTATGTTGTCTTGCTGGGCTGTATATGTAATAAAAGAGAGCCATACCGAGGTGAAAGCATATTCTTTTGTTTGTCCCCGTGTTAGTGTCAGTTTGTTGATTGGGAAACTGCCCTACTAGAAAAGCTAAACAGTTTGGTTCCAGTGGTCCATGTTCACTCCTGACAGATCCCACCAGTGTCTAGTTATGACACTCCTAGCTGCTGAGAGTAAGTGGCTTATGAGTTCTTTGTAATGTGAGTGGGCATTGTTGCCTTGGAAGAAGTTTAATAGGGCCAGTTCTAGAGTTGCTTCTAGTACCGGTTTTGTTATTTTCCAGGTTTCTTGTGGGACTTGATGTCCAAAAGGTTTGGATTTGGGGGCATTCCCATCACACATGGAGGTATTTGCCTGTAGTGATACAATCTCTCCAGCATTTATTTGAGGTTCCTTGGCGTATCAGCACCAGCTTCCGAGGTGTTAGGTACCATTTATAAAGAGTGGTTTAGACCATTGGGTAGGATTTTGCAACCTATACCATGTTCCCATTAGTCTTTGATTTTGGTGAGGGATTTTGTCGGGTCTTGGAATAGTATTTTGTATATTGTGTATACCATCACCTTGCTGTGTCCCTCTCTTGTCAACAGAAGTTTCTCAAAGGTGGTCAGAGGCCTAGTGGCTGCTGCTTTGATTACTGGGTTATTTAAGACGATGTGTTGTTGGTGATGAGTCAGCCAGAGTATTTGGGTGTCCCCTAGTTTTATCTTATACTTCTTGTGTTGGTATGGGTTTGCCATTGTTGTGGCAGTATAAGCCTTTGGCTTGCCAAGTTTCTGTTCGGGAGCTTTGGGCTGCGTGGTGGGTCAGAGAATTAGTGGGGATGGGGTTGGGACTGTTCACCTGCTTTTTCCTTCCGTGCTTCAAGTGTGAACCTGCTTAGCATTGTGGGAATTTTCTTTAGTTTTTTTCGACGGAATGGGCACACTGTGGTGGGGGTGTTTCTGATTGTGTCTATTGCCATGTGCAGCCATTGTTTCGTTTTGTCCTCTAGGATGTAGGGGGTTATGTGGTGCACTTGGTTGGCGATGTAGTAGAGTTCTATATTAGGAATTTCCCAGCCTCCGGGGGGGGGGGGAGAGATGTAGGAACTTGGAGCTTACTCCTGGCTTTTTCTGGGAGAAGGTTGAGTGTTACTGTGGCATTTTTAAAGTGTGGTAATCAAAACATCATCATTTTCTTGGCTAAGAGATGGATGACCTTCTTACAGCAGGGATGGGAGACAAATGTTACCTGTCCAGGCCTCTTTGCCTGCCTGGAGGGAGGATAGAGATGGCTGGGTTAAGAAACTTGCTCACTGTAGAAACACATAAGTCACATTAGTTGTTCTGCCCACCCCTGGCATGTGGGGACCGATCAACACAATTGCAATCTAGAGTCCTGCCTCTGGAGGGCACTATGTACATACAGCTGTGTTTTTTGCTGTGCCAGTAAGGCATTTATTTTCTGTTTATAACAAATGATTCCTCTACCAAGCCTTATGACTAAACATAAACAAACAATAGTCTTTTCTGGATTTAAGTCCCGACCTTCCTTCCCCCTTAGCTAATTTTTTTAAACTTTTGGAGTTAAATTGGCTTTCCTTAATGTTAGCTTCCTACTGGCTGCTTCTTTGAGGTGAAGGGGCCTTGTGGGGATTAGAGGTGAATGGCTACATTTTGCAAGCCATGAGTATTAAGCTTTGTAGAACATCCAATCTGATTATGACTCTGCATTCCATTCAGGTTCAAATTGTTTTTCAGCATTTTGCTTTGAACTTCAGTTAACTGAACAGGCTCTTTTCTTGATTTACTCTCACAATATGATCCTGGTGAACAGCAGGTGTGTTGATGTAGGTTCCACAAAGCCTGTTTTTGAACAGTTTAAAATTTGTACTATCATTATCAAAAGACAGTCAAAACCAGTTACTATTTCAGTTCTTGCATGCTTTATATGGGTAGTATTAAATTGCTTTAATTGTATTATTAACAAAAGGAAGGGAAGTTACAGCCGGTGCTAACGGCCTTATAAACACAACAAAAGCCCATGGTTTTCCAAACATATACAAATCTTTACAAATACTTTTATGTAAACAGAGATTGCAAGGTTTATACTGAAAATGAACACACTAGGATGTTTTAGGTTTAAATTTCTTAAATAAGGCTGCCAGCTATGGTAAGAGTGAATATATATTTGACGTTAACAATTCAGATAGAAAAAACTTCAAGCTGTTAATTTCTCTCAAAACACCTTTATAATAGTGAATTGATAGTGAACATACAGATTATGTTTCCTGAATGTACTTCTCATTATAATGCTTATCTTCTCTAAACAGAGATACATATAATTTTCTGTAAAGCAAGGCATGATAAATACATTATACAGTGGCACATACCTTAGAATATTAAAATAAATAATCATTTTTTTAAAAAACAAAAACTAGAATAAATTGCATGAAGAAATGTTGCTCCTAATCAGTATCGCTATTAAAATAGGTATACTTACAGCTGTACACTGACAAATCATAACTTTTATATTCACCATACTGAAATCTATGAATTACAATGTACTTTTTATCTGCCTACAACCACCTAAAAGTGTGTTTAGAAGCTGCTTTTAAAAAGTGCATTATTGTTATGTAACACACTCCAGAACATCCTCAACTTTCATTTTCCCTTAAGATGCCTAATTAAATTATTTTTTTCTAAAAAGGCAGATTTCTGCTTGCAATGGACAATATAAGGTGCTTACTTTCCCTCTTGTCCAAAGGTAGTGAATATGAAGACAAAAGGAGGAACAGTCTCCAATGCTTCCAGGGTATTCTTCCAAAGCCTCAAAAACATAACTTCCTCCACTGTTCACAGACTTTGCTCTTGCCAGCAGAAGCAGCAACTAGATTGCACCTGCACTGGTAGCAGAGATTCAGCTGGGCCAGCCAGTTCCTTAGCAGTGACTTGCTCCACTGTACGAAGGTTTGTCTCTTATTTAGACACGTTCCAGTTACACCCCCTATCTCCTCCCAAAGCAAGACTGCGCAAAGAAGCTGAGGGAGTGAATCCATCGTCCTTTTCTATCAACTTCACTGCAGCTTTTGTCTCTTGTATTTAAGGCCTTTGTAATTTCCTAGAATCAGGAGGAAATGCAGAGAGGTTTAAATGCATTTTAAAAAAAGATTTTGAGCAATTAATCACTTAAATACTGCTGCCATATGTTGAATGAACAAAATCTAGCAAAAGGCAAGTACTGAGGTTCTATTGCTTAAATTTCTCCCCTTAAATAGGAAGCTCTTATGCTGTTGTCATTAAATTATCGTATTTTTCGCTCCATAGGGCACACCGGACCATAGGGCGCACCTAGGTTTTTTTTGGGGGGGGGGTAAGAAGAAAAAAATTCCCCCCCAGCCCCAAAGAGCCATCCCGCTG